AATGAGAATTGGAATACGAATCGAGGAAAACCCTCCCACCGATTTGGAGCCCCGTTGTTCGGGAATCCCCAAAACCGGCGCATTCCAATACTCATTCCCTACCTATGGCACCAGCAAGGAAATCTGTAGACCATTGAAAGTGCCCAAAATAGTTGATGGTCCAGTGAACCTTTTAATGCCAAGTCCAAGACGGGACCAACAACAACGAAGGTGCTCCAGTTCGGGCACATTCTGACTAGAGTCTGCTTTGAAATCTGCGAAGGGCAATCACCTCAAGTTCGGGCCAAAGGCGATGCCTTAAGTGTGCCGTGCTGTGCAGCGAACTCAGCTGGGTTGCCCAGCACTTTGAACAGCACAATACATAACTTAGCTCTGCAGACAGTCTGAGAGCTGAATTGAAATTGAACAGCATGGCTGCTGATTTCAGAGCCCATGCAAACCAATTTTCTTTCGGGCCATCTGGATCAGCCCTTCAGAGCGCTGTCTCCGTTTCTGAACTCGCCAAGACACTGAACCAGGAAATCTCGGGCACTGGCGTCCTGCGGCTTTGGATCCACACGCGGGCTCTCGGGGCAATAGATCCGCTCATGGCAAGTGGCCGTGAATTTCAATAAGGGACCCTTTGGCGTACATCAAAATTCGGTGGAGATTGATGTTCACCACCCACGTTTTTAGGGTGGCGGATGTCGTGATGGCAGGTGCCTCTGATTGCTCAAGTCCAAGACTGTCCATAGTGTCGACCTCCTCTCAGCAAATGTTACATCGTGACAAGAAGGTTTAAGCGGCATGGGCATAGAGAATGACGGCTAGCCTGGAGATGATGCGAGCTGCCACTGCACAATATTGATAAACAAAGGACGCCTGGTCATGATTCCATCGCAATACACACATAACATATATATATATATATATACAGCATATATATATTATCATAAATATATACACATCTTATCCACACCACCGGGGTCCAAATAGCAATGTACACTGCAACATGTGCATAGAGCCCAAGAAGGGGTCCCGCGGTCTTACGTTCTGCGGGAGTGTCTGGGCGCTTTAGGATCCTCCGCTCGGTTGATGGCGGCGTGCAGGAGGAAGGCCAGAAACCGGGCAGTCTCCGTTGCAAGCGCGCCTGGCGGGATTGAAAGACCCCACAGGTTTACATACCGGGGGTCCAAGAAAGGGGGACCCAAAAGTGGTGGTGTTCCTCTGAATGTCCCTCTCAACAAAGGGTGGAAAAGAGTACCCCCAAACACCAAACACACACACACACACACCCGCGCGCGCGTGTACAGCACAGCACAGTGTACAGAAACAGAAAACATGGCCCCAGAAGGGACAATCTTTCCAAAGGCATGGCATTCTTCTTTTCACAAGGTCATTTCATCGCTCACGAGTTCAAGTGTGCATTGCCTTCGGATACATGAAATGCCCAAAGATTTTGCCCCACGCGAAAAACAAGCAACAACCTCGACTCAGCATGGTCTGCTCTCCGACTTGAGGGCCATAGCCACAACAATTCACACGCCCAGGCGCCTGGGTGGGTGGCTAAGCTGGACTTGGCAGCCGCATCCAGCGTTTCCTCCACCCGCTCTGGCAGGTTGTAGAAGATGGCCACCTGGCAGTCCGTCCGTTGGGATGCGTTGGAAAGAGAGGATAGTGATGTTGCTAGCTCCAGGCATTTGCACGCACACATACAGTACAAAGCCCCCCAACTCCGAACAAAGAGCTGTCCATACCGTCCCACAATGCTCCCATGGGACTCCAGAGCAGTCCACGCACCCCGAGGTAAGACTAGTCTGCGTGGGACTGTAGGGTCGTCTCGCATGCTATCACCCGCCCAGGGCAACCTTGCATATGTCCGGAAGCAAAATGCATTTAGCGATCAAGGCATCTTTTCTGGCAGTGACTAAAGTAACATAATCTGAGTCTTGAAATGCAGGAACAACCACTCAATTGCACTATTTTGCATCTGGAGAGAAGCCACTTTTCGGGTGAAGTGCAACGAAATCAATGAAATCTGAAATCTGAACATGGGGCCAACGCCTCACACCCCAAAAGCAGTCCCACCAAAAAGGAGGTTATCCTTTGGTACATGTTTAGGAAGAAGTTATCTTCCTAGAAAAAAAGAGTCAAACAACAAGCCCTCACTGAATGCTGACACCTCACCTGCTTGGTCATACCCTCTCAGCAGAACAAACTGGCAAAACCCGCGGAAGAAAAATCGAGGGAACAGCCCAAATTTGGCGCCTCCGCCGCTGTGTTGCAAAACAACCCTTCGATTGCCGTTGTGTTGCCTTCCCAAGACCATGTCGGCAACATTTGTGTGCATTCACCCCCAAGTGACCCCAATGCAGGCACCGATGAACTGGTCAAAGCCTGCAATGGCTCCCCTTGCTGCTCTGAGTCAGCATATGGGTGCCAATTTTAGGAACTGCACCCCCCTACAGTAAATGGCGCAACAAATGGGCTCAAATGTCCTTCTGGTTTCCCCTTACTCCCCAAAAAGGGCAACTCCAAAAATCGACGAGCCCATATATCAGAAACATGCCACCGGCCGACTGGAGCCAAGCGCATGAGCCCACCGTTGCCGGAGTCGCCTCGGCTGGCAAGCGGATGGCTTTGTCGAAATGGGACCTGCGTTGGTTTCCTTTGGGTTTCCCTTTCAACCAACGAAGGCTAGAAAAAGACAGTCCATTTCGAATGCAGGCATCAGTTGCACACTTGCATCGGCCATTTCATCACACCAACCACAAGTTTGGTAATGCTTGTAGATCCTGGCTTCTCAACGGGTGACTTCTTTCTCCGGTTGAGAAATTGAGGTTGCTGAGGGCCTTCCCAGAGCACATGGAACTTGATGGAATGCCTGGTGACCAAAGAAATGACTGCCAGCTGAGCCTAGTGAGCCTTGTGCCGAGTATCTAGCTTGCATTTCATCATTGGTTCTGAACAATAGAAACACATTATCCTTCTGAGAAGATGCAGCAACAACTGTTGTGGGATACTCAGTGCCAGACATACTGCTTCAAAGTGGAGCACGTGGTTTGTCAATAGTTTTCATTGAAACATATAATAGAGCAACGGATTAGAAATCAAAGACTCACAAAATTCAAGCAATCTCAATGTGCCTAACGAGCTTACAATACCAAAGGACCTTTGCTCGAATAGCCTCAGTATCTGGCACAATGCTGCACATGCGAAAGGTAACGCCAAAACTAAAGTGGATAATTTGATTTGTGCTTCACAGCGCCCCAGCGCATTGAAAATCATTCCGATTTCCGCATGGCTGACCTATAGCACTGAGACAGGCGGGTTGAGGGCCTACCAACTATCACAATTGGCCGCAAGAAGCTTCTCCTATCCAACACAAATTGGCCCAAGCGGGATGTCCAGCAGAATTTCTGAAAGCCTCTGGAACCCTCCCGGAACTCCTGAGCATATTTGGGAAGCGACCCCAAATCTTTCAGCTGGGGAAGAGACATGGCGAGCAGCAGCAGAAATCTTGGTTGTGTAAAAGGTAAATCAGTGGCCCGAGGAGGCCTATCAGCTGCTTTTACACATCCGGGAAATGCAACCAGCTACTTCTTAAGTGCCTGGATCTCAGTCGCCTGGAGCCCGCGAGGCTTATCTCCTGACTGAAAGCACCAGGGCTTGGGTACCTAGATGCTCAACGGCCATCGTTATCTTTACTTTGGCACTCCATAACAAACTGGTACATTTGGCTTGCATTGACTATTACTACAGGCTTTTGCACAAGGAAACTGTTCGAAAGTCGTTTCAGATTCGGCCGCAAGCTGGACAGGCGGCTGCTCCCAGGGTTGATGTACTCCGGCTCGATGGGCAGGTCGGGTTTGAGAGCCATGAGGCTTTTGGCCTAAGCCAAACGTGGCGAGAGAGCAAACCCCTCCTAAGCGAATGAACGGTGCTGTGCGTGTTGATCTAAGGGCTCATAGGGAACAGAAACCGCTCCCTTGAAGCATGCTCACTACCCCACAAATCCCGACTGTTTGTGGATACCAAAATGGATTGTCGGGGTTCTCCACCGGGCCCGGAATTTCTGCAGAGGGGTCATGACCCTTAGGGTAAGCTCAACCGCCACTTTCATTATAGTGATACTAGCTTTCAGAAACTAGCATCCAGAAAAGATTACTTACATACCTTCAAACTATGTTTAGGATGGGACTCATGCACAAATAAATAAAACACGTGGCGAGACCCTCAGGTTGATACAGCCCAGCATGGCATTCAGCCCGCAAAGCACTGCATTTTCCAGCTATTGAACGGGGCATTGCATAAAATATGATATGCCCTTCAGCCCTATGTAGCAGCATTCAAAACAATCTGGTTTGGATGTCACTGCAAATGTGTGGTAACACTTAAGACTTAGCAACATGTGTGCAATAAGCGGATGAGGCCGGTAAAAGTGCTTTGTCGGAGAAATGCGGAGTTCTCGGAAATAGGGGCTTTACATTACACTATGGATTATGTGCCTTGTCGAAATGCTGTGGATCCCCAACACATTCACAAAGCTTATTAACAATTCAGCTAAAGTTCTTCGGTTGTTTCTAGTATAAGACCAGCAATGCAATTTGTCATAATCTGCCGAGCTGCAGCATGTAAGCAAAGTAATTTATTGTATGTGTTCATGGCGTGTACTAGCATATCTTGGATGCAAGCATGGAATATAATAGTCATAATTTGCCAAGCAAAAAAATGCTTGTATGTATTCATGGCATGCACTGGCATATCTTGGATGCAAGCATGGTATACCGTACTTATAGCCATAATTGTCGCGGGTGGGTGCTTTGCAGGAGGTGAAACGCTAAGCTAAAATAATTGTTTGTTCTCCCACATCTGGTTTCACTGCTTGATTTCCGAATTGAACTTGCACCACTCAATGGGCCCAGGTGTTTAACATACAACACATGCTTATGTGTATTCTATTGTCCCTTTCATTTGGCAGTGCTTTCTGGACATGGTAGTGTTTTTTTTTTTTGGGGGGGGCTACCATATATATATATATACATAATCTGCCATTCTGCTGATAGCGCCTCTCAACCTACCCAGCCCACATTCAATGGACAGGTGACCTGCCTTTTGCAGGTTTGATGTTGTTTGTCTGCTGCTTTGAAAAGTCTAGTCTCAAGGTGCCAGAGGAAGGGAAACTGCCATATGAACAAGGCCTCCACAATATGTCCATGCAGTTGCATTGAGAATCAGGCTTGTAAAATGTCTCGCCCGATTCGGCCAGATCAAGCAAGTGTGGACAGATTGCGGGCGAAGTGGCTGTGTTGTAACCCAGGCCAAAGCTCTTCCGCTTCTTCCGCTCCTTGTCGAGACGGAAGGGGTTGTTCATGCCCTGGCCATGGCACACCGAAGATCAGCAAAGGCTTTTGAAATGACGACACTATGGCTTCAGAACCGTTCAAACCATTACAATGCCTAGAAGCTTCGACTTGGAGCCGAGGCGCAAAAATTATGCCTCAAAATATCGGGAGGTTGCCACATTCTGTGCGCTGTGATGCCTATGAGCAAGAAATATGTTCTCCGATAAACGTGGGGCTTTTGCAAAACTCTCTCGGACATCGTTATAGAGGCACATGGGAGGTTTTCTCAACATGGTGCAGCGAGCGTGCAGTGGGCAAGGATTTTGGATGTCGCCGCTTGGGTCACTTGGCTGCGGGCTAAATTAAGATCCCAATCCCCTTAAGGGGGGGACGTCTGAAAATGTAACTTACGGTTTCGCAGGTGCACTTCTCTCCTCCTTGGGTCCTCCCATTCCCTGACGGGCTTCCGAAATGTCCTTCCTGATAAGCCAGATCTTAACTCCTCCTCCCCGGAAAAAATGCTGGCGGCACACCCCAACCTGTCTCAGCCCATGATAGCTGTGCAATATGTCAGAGCGGAAACGCAGCCAAGTTACATTCTCAATAAAAGTGAATAAATGTAACTTACATTTTTGGACGTCCCCGCAATTTCGGCCATGCAGGGGGTGGGGAAAATTAAGTACATCCGACCATGGGATCACTTGGAGAGGTTTTCATCTACTGCCACCTGGCGTGATGGCCGAAAAGTCTGTATCTCAAACAGAGTCTAGCGGTAACACAGACTTGCTCAGCCACAGTTTCTTCGACTATCAAGTTGTTTGCGCGACCCTCTGCAGAGCTTGGGCTTGTTTTTGCAATCGCTCGCGCGACCTTCTGTGCACTTGGTGTTTTTGAGCTGGCCCTCGCCCCTTGCCTGAAAGTGACCCAGTGACCCGAGTCACTCAAGTTGAAGCTTTCACTGCATCTCAGCGGCGGCTGCAACAGCCAGAAAGTCTGTATCCCTAAGTCCTTTTCGGGACACAGACTTTCCAATCTGCTGCCACAGCCGAGTACTTGTGTATCTCATAGTAGGATTCAAGGGTCACGCTTGGGTCGCTTGGGTCCCTTAATTCACTTGGGTCGCTTAATTCACTCGGGTCACTTGGGTCGCTTGGGTCGGCTTGGCTCACTTGGGTCCCTTAGTTCACGTGGGTCACTTGGGCCACTTGGATCCCTTGATTCACTGGGGTCGCTTGGGTCGCTTGGGTCACTTGGGTCCCTTGATTCACTTGGGTCACTTGGGTCGCTTGTGTCGCTTTTGTCGCTTTGGTCCCTTGATTCACTTAGGTTACTTGGGACGACTGGCGGAGGACTAGTCTAGCAGCTAGCGGAGGCCGACAGGTACAACAATGCATGTGGCCCTTGGAAGATGCATTTAAGCTCCTGTCATCGCTAGCCTTTTGTTCTAAAGGAAATCAGTTGTGAGTGCTCCAAGCGACCCAAGTGCCAGTTTTCAATTAGTGTTCCCACAAGTAAGTGACCCAAGGAATCAACGTGGCAGACCTGCCCTAAATTTACCCGCAAGCAAGTGACCCGACCTAAGTGGCAGACCTCAGCTGTTCCCAGGCAATCGCAATAGTGGACCCTAGACCCGCTTTGAAGCCTTGTTCTTCTCGATAAGTCCACATGTGCCATGGCCCAAACTCCTTGTGGGTTGATCATCATCCCAAGGTCCAAACAACCACGGGGCGGTGCTGCGCCTCCCCGTACCAACACCAGAAGCCTCAGCTCAGCCGATGGTCGCAATCTTCAGTTTTTATCCCTCGACAAAAAGGAAATCGTACTATCTATGCTTTCACCCGTATAATAAATTGGCTTTCTCGGCCACAAGCCAAAGAGAGGAGGCATCCTCATTCAGATTTCAGCAGCCGTGCGTCCACACCCACCATGCGTCGAAACCAATAAATCTGATCCGAGCAATCAAGAACTTGATTCAAATGCAGCTGGCCATTGGATGTGCTGCGTGAGTGTGCATCTTGCTGGGTGTATACATCGTCTGCACCATGTTTGCCCGGCTGGCCATTCCAATGCTGTGCATCTGGCCTTGCGGTTTTGGTGTGGTTCCGGGGGACCAACATTGATTGGTGGGCAGGGATCCGATCCACTTGCTCCACAAAGCATGTAGTGCCACATCATACCGCAGGGATAAGGCCCGACGTTATGACCCTCATGTGTGTGTGTGTGTGGCAAATAAGGCCACCCCGCGAAATGGTAGTCTGGCTTCTTCTTGCTTTTTGGTTTCCATTTAATCCAAGGTGAAAAGGTTATTAGTTTTGGCTCATTGTTCCTGGCTTTACTGTTCAGCCAGTGACCCCTTCAACTCAAGATTGCCCTAAGCCTCCCTGAGTATAATGGTTGTGTTTCATGTTGCATGCTAGCTCTTGGGGGGAAAGGATCTCAATAGGGAAAGGTGGGAAAAGATCTTAAGGAGGAAAAGGGAGATCTCAGGGAGGAAAAGGCCTTAGAGGGGAAAGGGGGGAAGGGATCTCAATAGGGAGAGGGGGGAAAACATCTTAGGGAAGAAAAGGGAAAATATCTCAGAGGGAGAAAGGGCCTTAGGGGGGAAAGGGGGAATGAATCTTAACAGGGAAAGGGGGGCAAAAATCTTAGAGGGGAAGGGGGGCAAGGGGACAATTCCAAAGGGACGCAAATAAGAAAGCAGGCCTGTAATGTCGGCGGCCTGAGCCGGAGGCGTTAACATTTCTTAAAGAAAGGACCCTCGCTCAGGTTCCATGCTTGCTTTGATGCCCTCGTAACTTCTCAAAATGTTCTTAAGATACTTTGACGCCCTTATTTTGGCCGCCCCCCTCCCCCGCAATGTCTTAAGTTCAACAGCAGATATCACAGGGTACTTGGATCTGGAACTAAATCCAAATTAACGCAGCCGACCATCAAAGACTCAAATGAGCATGTGTAGGTGAGCCACAGTCAATATTCATTGTGTCCCCCTTCATGAGATTTTGGCGAGTCATCCTTCTCCGCATATGGCGAAGATTGGGTCAAACTCACCATTTGCGAGTGCACCCGCCGGAGAAAAACAACAACAACAAAAAAACATGGAAATGCGGAAGATCCTGCTTAAAAACTTCAACAGGCGCTTGAAAATCACAAACATGCGTTTCAGCACGTTTCAGCAAACGGACTCCGGGGGTTCTTCATCCGGGGTTCCAATTCAGAGAAACACACGGCACCAACGGGGTCCGAGCTGCGGAGCCGCAGGTCGGAGCCATTCAGGCCTTCGCAAAGCAGCAGGGAGTCCGCCAAACACAGCGCCTGTCACGTGTCCCGCAACGTGAAAGGCGGGGCTTGCAGGGAAAGCCACGACAAAGGTTTTGGTTTTCTTGGGTTGCGTTTGGTGGTGTTGGGTGGTCTAAGGAAATATTAAAAGGCAGAGACGTGATGCGGAAGTGACTGAAGTCAGGAACTGCGTGCCAAATCACGGGTCCATGGAATCACCGAATTGCAGCAAAACACTGGCAGTCGGGATGGCAAGAGCGGCCATAAAGCTCCCTAGCTTTGATGCTTTAATCGGTCAAGATAGACGCTACATCGCGAGCAAGTATGAGTATGACCCCATTTCACCCAGATTATCAAATGCAGAACTCCAACGCCTCGTCACATGCCTTTGCACGTCTGGAAGTATAGTCATTCAGGAACGGCCAAGGCAGGTGTTCATGGAACTCAGCAGGTCCCTCCAACAAAATGCTCCAAACTCAAAGCGCCCCCGTCGGGATGGGAGGAGCCAGCCTCGTTAAAGCGACTTCGGGGACGAACCTTTGGCTTCAGGGAAGTGGGGGGGCGGGGGGTGAAACAAAGACTGCGAAGTCTGCTTTCGACATCCTTGGGCCACTGCGTTCAGCAAGTAAGACGTTCAAAGGACATGGCTCCCGAAACCTCAGCCTCATTCGTCAAGAGAAGTCGGCAAACGAGGACAACCGCATCGTAGACCTGTATATGGGTGCACCCCTTTTCTGAGGTTACCCCCTTTTTTGTGGTTTTTAAAGGGAAACCAAAGGATAACCACCATGTTGGCCCAAAACAAACACACACACACACACATCTTGGTTTCTTGAGCCAGTGGTCCAGCAATCCTCAAATCCCGAAACTTGGCTAGAGCGCTTTCAGCGCATCGACCTACTCCATGCAAGACCGGCAGCTTCCGGGCCTGCGCACAAACATAAGCCATGTCGAACCTTCGAACCGAAACAATGTCTTCACTCAGTTTCGTGTTGTCCTTCAAACAAAGAACGCCAAGGGGTGGAAAAACAAATATCTGATAGAGCCACTCGAAACACATCGAACCCAAGGCGCCATTGAGGTGTCGTCCGTCCACTGCCCCGGCTGCATCAAGCCCCGCTCGATCTCCTGAGTCACATGGGATGTGGAACCCGAGCGCGAAGGCCCCCAAGCAAAAATGACTTCGGATCTGGCAAGAGGGAGGCAGTTGAGATTTGGCGTCAGAAGAGCTCTCGTTGGGAAGTTGGAGAATGAACAAGATGTGCCAAGCGTAAGTAGCCTTTGCAACCAAAATGAAGCTGAAATACGCCCCTGGAATCGCCGTGGATTCCCTGCCCGCTGAAAAGTCACGCGTCGAGGGCTAACCATCCCCAACTCTCCCATGGCAACAGCCGAGCACCTTCTGTTTGGATAAACAAATTCCCAAACCAGTGGGCATGTGCCAAAATACCCGCGGTTTCCTCCGCTTGGTTTCCCTTTTACTTTCTAGCCCACTCCAGATTTCGGCCCTTAAACACATATATATATATATATGTATAGCTTCAATGGTCAACCCGGATCGATCCATAGAGGAGCTTAGGCGCCATAGACCTGTTAGCAAACAGGCCGAGGGCGGGGGCCATTCCGGCCGAGCAGCGAAGCGGTTGGGATTCAAGCAGCTGAAGCTGTCATGATCCCAGCGGCTCTCTCCCGGCTCATCTGTGACCTGCCGGAAGACGCATCAGCTACTAGGGGTGTGTCGTTTTTTGGGGTGAAAAGGGCTTCGGTGCTCCTTTTGGTTGCCCTTTGTTCACCACAAAGAAGAGGTACCAACTCCAAAGACGGAGCCAAAGAATCCACAGGACCAGAGTCGGAGGGGTCAAGGCCATGACCGTCATGTCATGGCACCGAGTTGAGGGGGGGGGGGGTTGCCATCGAGCCGTGTGCAACCGGCTGGCACTGGTGCTTGAGAAGTACTTTGCAAGCGGAGGGTGGCAAGTATCGGCCCATGTGCAAACAATCCATCAAATGAAATGTGGCGATCACGTGCGATAACATGCCGAACTCCGACAGACATGCCATGAGATGCGGATGGGCCTGTTTCGCAAACCCAATTACCCTAGAACAAACACGGCACATAGATCGGGTACTTTGACCAGCTGAGCCCAGCCATACACCAGCCAATGTGGCGCACTTACCCAGCATACGTTCTGACAAGGGAAGTTCCCTAAATCCGTACAGAACCGGATACCGTTCCTTTCTCCAACAAACAAGGGACACCTATTCTTAACCACACAAACACGCAGTTCTACAGGATATCTTTCCTTGCTCTGAAGTCTACACGCCCGGATCGCCTCGAGGAACTCCAGGGGGGAGCCAACCCAATCAGCCGCTGCAAGCCCCAGCAGGCTCCCCACCGCACGGCTGGCCCGTGCATCTGCCTCTCTGGGAGCGCCAAGTGGCATTTCTCAATGGATTTTGTGGGCGTGCGTCATGATAAGGAAAAAACAACTTCATGTTTGGAGCTCCCCGTTTTGGCTCAACTGGTTCTTTCCGGCATGGGCGCGCGGCCGGGTTCCACTTGCCGCAACCTCCACGGAAACCTAGGCTATGGCTGGTTCGGAAGCTCTTTCCTAGATCTAAGCATTGGTTGTAAGCCTTGCGTTTGGCAGCCAGCGCGCTGGTCTCCACATTGCGCAATCATGAAAGAGATGCACATGCAGTCGACTTGAGTTTTTACACGACATCACAGGCAGGTTCTATGCTCTAAGACCCATCCCAAATGCAATTGGCCTGCAGAGATACCCCCATATTGATGATGACACTGCCTACCCAAGAGCCTCAAGCTAAATGCTCGGGACGAAGGGTTCGGAAGCGAGCGGGCTGTCCAGAATTTGGGAAGCCATTTGGATGGGCAATTAGATCCATTCCAGGCACCAGCTGGGGGTTTATCAACCAAACATTCTAGGATCATCCAGAACCCAATCATACGCAACGACAGATTGGACAGTCTTTTTTCGGGGGACCCCCCCAAAGTGTTTTTTGTTTCCCTTAAAGCCACAGAGAAGGGGTACCAACTCCAAAAGAGACACACCAACAGATTCGAAATACCCGCCTGTACCCAGCGCCAGGTTCTGTCGATCAAGTCGTCCTTAGGAACTCCCACAAGCCTTGTGATGCCAAAGGCGAGCCCGTAGCTGTGTGTGTGCAGAATCAAGCGTTGCCTTTACTTTTACCTTGTATTGTTGAAAAAAAAAATGTCAAACCACCCGAAAGAACAGTCAACCTTCATCGTAACCCACTGTCCAAGGAATTACGGCGCAATCCCAAACTATCTTCATATGATGCAATTTGCTGGCTACATGTCAAACTATCTCATTTAGAAGCAGCCTCTGTATCACAGTGAGGTCGCAACGAGTCATACTATGAGACACTTTCTCTATTCATTGTGTCAGCTGACATCAGACGTTGGTGAGGGACCCCCCCCTCATGTCAAAAATAATTGCTTGGTGCGTGCGCCCCATGTTGCGCATGTTGCTACCGTAGGTGACAGCAAATATTAGCAGTTGCTCACTAAGTGCATTGCAAGAACCCTACCAACTGCCAAACACACTACGAAACCTGTCTCGGCGCTTGTTTGCAGTAGTATCCAGGCCGAATCATTCTGCTTCAACCACAAGTTTTCGATGGTTCGGATGCCATCATTTGGGGGCTTCCCTGGGTGGAGGCCAGCTGACCATGATTTTGTTTTTTTTGGACGGTCATCGGTTTGTTCCAGAGGCACACGGATCAATACCAGTTTCGCTTTGCGTGTTGGCACACGTATCTCGACCCCTAGCCGACTTTCGATGTGCTTGTTGATTTGTTGTGAAGGGTTTTCTTGCTTTGTTCATAGCTGCTCTGGCGCTCAGCTTAAAGTGATGAGAGCGAGTGGGGGCTCATAAGATAAAACAACCGTGTGACTACCATGCAGCCGCTGCGCGGGGAATGGAAAGATTCCTTCAGCACCGCATCGGTAGCATACGCAACCTCATCACCTTGCCAAATCTGGTAGGCACGGCTGGTTGAGCGGGTTGAGCGCCTGACACAGCATACAATGAACCAACAACAAAGTGCCAAAGAACTCGGCTAAAGAGAAACACGACCCACTCCCAACGCAAGCAACAATGCAACACCCGCTTTTTGCGCGGACGCCCCGGCACGCGCTGCTTGCCGCCAAGGCTCCGGCACCTCGGGATGCTGAGGCAGAGTCCCGGGATCTGACTCTAAGCTGGTTCATCCGGGGTGGCAACATGAGGACCGCCCTGCCGGAATAGGGCTTCGCGCCAGGCAGGATGTAAGGCTTGCTGTGACCCGATGAATGGGTTGTAACCAAGGGGTTCCTGGATGCGCCCTAATTACACACACACACACATCCCGTGGTGCAAGCTGGAACTCGTTTGTTAGAGCCTGTTTAGGGTTCCCTGACACCACACTTGAGACTTGAGACAGGTATCGAATCGATTCCTTCCGCTTTCCGCCCCAAATTCGCACAAACTGATGTTCACCAAGCTGAAGCAGCAACACCCCGCGAGGCACTGGCAGGAACTTATAAGATCGAGCTGTTCCCATAGACTTCGAAGCTGGACGTCCAAGTTGGCAGTGCTCAAGGTGGCCCATGATTTGCTTTGATGGCGCAAATTAAAGAAGAACTCCCCAACCGAAAATAAGAAATCCTAATGAAAGAAATCTTCATGGGTGGCGTCGCAGACCCCCCAATCAAAGTGACTTCGCTAGAACATGCACGCTCGAAGCACTTCCGGGTGTCCCTTTTGCGCGTCACTGGGCGCCTCCTCCAGCACGGAAAAGTCCACGAGGGTCGTGTCTCGGTCTCCTTGAGCCAATTGCGGGCAGACACCTCTGAAGCTCTTGCTGTGCATGTCGTTCTCCGGGCTCCACCAAACTAGCGCTTTTTGGGATCCCAGAGACAAAGCCTCAAATAGTTGGTGGGAGAAGTGCCACCTTCATTTTGGAAGCACAAGAGACCAGGATCCAGCGTGTCTGTGTGTGTGCTTTTTCACTAGCCCCGGTTAGGGCTTACCCCCGGTTGACCAGTTGGTTGGTTGGCTGGTTGGTTGGTTGGTTGCTTGGTTGGGTGGCTTCTAAATCATAAACCATCGACGCAAAGAAATGCTGTCACAGCTGGGGCTAAGCGGCTAAGGTGACTGTGGTCAAAACGCAGTTCCCCAAACCTTGTGCTGAATTGCATATCGGATATAGGCTGTCCTCAGATCCCCCACTAAAAGTTTAAAGGGAATCCCACTAAACCAAAGTAAAGAGCTAAACAGCTAAGGGGACGGCTGGGAGCCACCAAGTAATATGGGGAGCACTTCCATCTGGAAGCAGCTGGACCGTCCGTCATTGCTTAGGCCTAAACTGTGCGGTTTTGCTCATGGAACAGAGCAGCATTGGAGGGTGCTGCTTGTCTTGTTACATCACCAGCTCCCAACTCCCATCTCCTTTCCCCTTCCGAACTTCCCCGCCCCCAACCCTGCCCCCCCCCCCAACCCAACCCTTTCCCCCCCCCCCCCATCCCCGAATTCTCCCCCGCCCCCCCTCCAAACCGAGCCGTCCTTTGTCCTTGAGCTGCCGGTTTACCCGCACCAGCGGCGAATCCCGCAGCTTCTCCCGCAGTTCCGCCAGCAGCGCGGCCCCGGGCTCCATGGCGCGAGGGCTTTTTGTGTGTTCGAATACTCCAACCGAAAAGGAAGTGAACAAGGCCCAACAAGGTCCAACGTGACTTCTGTAAACCCGTACTTTTGTGATTCAAGACTTTTAACGGATTGATGTTCTTCTAATCCACTTTGAGAGGTCGTGACAAGCTTTGCCCACGATGTCTTCGCCTCTGATTTCTTGCTGGACTGTGTCTATTTTAAGTTGCTGGACTGCCAGAGGTTGGCCAAAGCCACAAAGTAGTACGTTGGGTTAGTGCAGTGAAGCTCAATCAGAAAACAGTTTCGGCGCTGGTTGAAGGCCACCAACCACCAACCGCCACATTGGCAGAGTGCATAAGACAAAACCTGACCACCCCCCCCCCCCCCCGCCCCGGCACCGCAGAGATGACATCATGTCTAGGTGGTCTGTGGTGTGTTGGCACATCACTCAGGCACACAGGCTCTCCTGTTGTATGGCCTTAGCTGGATGTAGTTGGTAGGGTACGTTTGACACACCTGACAGGTTGGAAGGGATAGTGATTTGGTCCGGGCTGACCCCAAGCCATGCATTTGCATTGCCCAGCCTATCACAGGCTGACAGGAACACAAGCGGGAAGATTCCGTCAACAAAGGGGCTTTGTGCATGATTGTCGGGTCGACACTGGTACTCCTCATAGCTGTGCGGGCGTGCAGTTGGACAAATCCCACACACACACACACTCACACAGCACGCTGCCTGAATCGTTTTCAACTATGCGCAGCCTCTTCGCCGCCGCGATATGTACAATCAGCTGGCGTCTCTTGTTGCACAGCTGCATAGTTTCACTGTGGAAGAGACCCAGTGCAATGAGGTGGCGAAGCACATCATGTTGCAATCAACTTAGTCTTTGAACGGCAAAGGCACGCGGGATTGGTTTCTCGCAGCACTGTCTCTTCCAACCTACGCGGAAGTCCAAGGTGTCAACAGGGATGGAAGGAAATTGCTCTACTCGGGTTCAATGACTTGTTGTTCCGTCAACCCATCACGATCAGACAATCAGGAATATGATCATGTGGCAGCGGGTGTTTTCGCAAGTCAACGAGCGGGCGCACACGAGCATTGGTTTCAGACGACAAATAAACTGATCTGACTGAACTACTCTACATCGAGCGACCTGACCAAGAGGGATGGTTAGCCCCCCAGGTTTCGAAAAGTTCGAGGTTGAAGATACACTTCTATGTTGTGTATACATATACACAACATGAATAGTCCATTTATGAACAAAAAACAGCTCATCGCCGACCTGGAGATGAAATGGAGGACATGTTTGGTGCTTCCGGGAGCTCGAGTTCTGGCATCCTAACCTTGTCAAAACCCTCTCCTTCAGAACTCCCAGGACAAGTGTTTGAAGTTGCAACAAGACATGTTTTGAAGAGGTTCAGAACACACTGTGGATGGACAAAACCCATTTCGCACCACCGTTCAGAAACCCAAAGGAATGATTCGATTCCCCAACATAAACACCAATAAACCATGGCTTCGCACCACCGTTCAGAAACCCGAAGGAATGACTCGAAACGTTGTGGTTTCAGCCATGGTGTTCTTTCGTGGTGCGAATTGCACAACCGCAACCATCCACATCTGGACTCGACAAATCACTTGACACCTCCGTGCAAATCAGACCTCCGAGGCTCGCGGGGCCCTCGCGCGCTTCTTGTCCCCGTCCCGGTCACAGACGATGGCCTTGGATCCCAGCAAGTTCCCAGGCCCACGGAAAGTCAGCGGTGCACCCAAAAAACAACAACACGGGTGTGGGTCAAAAATCGGTACCTGAAATGGAACCCTGGTTCAATAAAGACATGGACTAAAACCTGCGGGGCCCTGGTGGTTTAGTTTTGACCCATGCCCACATGGATCTTCACACATTCAAAGCCATATCCCAAAAAAATACAGGTGGCCATGTGTTTGTTTGTTTTTTTTGCACAAAAGTGCCTCGAGCCACAAACGGTTGCAAAGACTCTGACTGCTTCGGGCCTTGGAGCAGCCCTCAGCACCCCCCCTCAGGGCTGCAATTTTAGGTTGCCTGTTGAAAAAACAACACAGGGGGTCCACAACATGGCTGCTCCATTCAGTTTCCCAATCCAAAAAGGGTATCCGCAAAAAGGACACACCCTAGTATCTGTTGCACATGTTGGAGTGCACCGACGTGTCATAGCTCCTACTCACACAAGTTCACGCACACACGCACAGCGGATGTTGCTTATGAATTCCTGGATTTCAGCATTTCGCGACTGAACTTAGAAGTTGGCAGCACCGACTTCTGTGAGCTGCCTGTTGTTTAAACCAGCATGCCATTAGCACACTACTAAGGGTAGGGGAGCCTAAACATCAGGTGGTCAACCCCATCGCAAACAAGGCTTTGCGCCTTGTCAATGACATGGTGTTTTGGCTTCCGGGCATCCAGGCAAAACTTGCATGACGTCTGACAGCTGGCATTTGGCTGGTTCACTTTGCTTGGAGCGACTGACCCTGAACCCATAAGAAACCACACTGAATCCGGTTCAGCCCCAAATCACGCCCAGGCCTAAGCCAACCATCCCAGCACAATAATTACCACTCAGAACCCTGCCCTCAAGCAACCTCCGACAACCAAGCAACTGAGCCCGCCCAAAATTTCCGGAACGTCCAGAGCAAGGAAACCAACAAGGCCCGAGCTGACCAACTGATAGCAAGCAAGTCATTCTCACCCAACGCCTCCTTTTGCAAGTGTCTAACGACATGAACACCTTGAAGTCGTCAGGCTCTCTCCTCGCATGCAGCCCATTGCACAGTCATCTCTCCACCAGCATCTGCGTTCGGAACCGACCGCAAGTAGCGCGACCGTGCTCCGCATTCGCCTGTGCTCGCGCCAGCGCAGCATTGTTTCTTTGTCCCTCAAATCCCGGACGGCGCGCGGTCTTGTTTCAGGCTAGTAGAGTTGTGCAAGGCATCATCGCGCAGCGCTGTTGTGCCTCCTTCCTTTGCGCGCGCGATTCGCCGAGAGACCCATCTCTAGCTTCGGCCAGTAGCAGGTCTCGCTCACAACGCACCGCAAGCAGCACGACCGCGCTCCACATTCGCCCTTGCTTGTTGCGTCGATCTCACCAGCGCTGCGGTGTTCTTTCTCACCCATCTCACGGACAGAGCTCGTTCTTGTTCAGGCCAGTAGCGATAATGTTGTGTGCCGCGCCGCGTTGCAGCGTCGCTGTCACCTTGATTCAAAAAGCCAAATTGAGTCCTCACTACCAACAACATCAATTCCAGCATCCCGAAACCACTTTGCTCAATTCAGTTTTCCTACCAGCGTCATCCGTCCGAGCAGCGCGGCTGCACAGCACCGCCACGTAGGCGGAGCACACAGAGCCGAGGCCAGTCGAAGCCACCAAGCCCAGTGCAAATAAAGGGCCTCGTGGCGGTCCCACCAATCAGAGGGGCCCTCTTTTGTCAATCCAAACATATGGCATCCTCGCTTTTTATTTGTTGTTTCTCTATCGTGCACTTCCTTCTCTGTCAAAAGCCACTCAGCGCAAGGACATGGGATGCATGTCCGCACGACCACAAGGGCTCTGAGAGAAGCTCCGAAGTGAAAACAGCACCTGTCGTGGCACTTGTCACCCGAAAATTCAGGTGACAGGTGGAGCAACGGCTGTTTGCACCGAGGACCCACATTAGCTAACATGTGCTCATTGGCTGTTAGCCAATGCGCACATCCAAATCGCGTCATTGGGAACTCTACCAGAGGCAAAACGATGGATCACAGTTTTCGATGGCCTGAAAGGGACAGCATGAAACCTGCTAGTCGGAATCTGTTCAAAAGAGTCCAACGAGTGTTGACATATTCTCACATCTACAGCTTTATTTCTACTTACTAAGCAGGGCTCACTTTCAAGGTGCTGGTTGACTGGTTGTCTTCCTCTTTGGTCCCGCTGTCTTTCCCGGCTGATGGTTCTCGAGGCCCCAGGAACATGTGTTCCTTGATTTATCAAAGCACCCCACGTGTTTTGTGAGTTGCAACCCCCCAGACATCCAGCGGAAAAACGCGGCCAATGAGGTAAAGGGACACCCCCTCGCAAAGTTTAACTTGACTATTGCACAACTCAAAGTCCATCGCACGTTTTTCCCCCAGCCTGCGAGCGTCCACAGCACTTGACCGCCCTCCTGGAGCGCCAGGACAAGTGCCAGCGCGACACATGGCGGCCGCTGGCGCGCGCGGGTGCGGCGGATCGCCACCTTACCAAGGAAGGGGGGGAGCATTTTGGGCTTTGGCTCATTTTGGGGTAAGCTGCAAAACTTCAAGTCAGCTGCTGCAGCTGCTGTTGCTGCTGGTGCTGCCGTTGCTCTTGCTCTTTATCTTATCTTGTTCTTGATCTTGCTCTTGCTGCTGCTGCTGCTGCTGCTGCTGCTGTGCTGCTGCTGCTGCTGCTGCTGCTACTAATGCTGTTGTTGTTGTTGCTGCTGTTGCTGCTGATGGTCCTGCTGATGCTGCTGCTGCTGCTGCTGCTGCTGTTGTTGTTGTTGCTGCTGCTGCTGCTGCTGATGTTGATGTTGCTGCAGTTGCAGTTGCCGTTGCTGCTATTGTTGCTTCTTCTCCTGTTGTTGTTGTTGTTGCTGCTGCTGCTGCTGCCGCCGCTGCCGCTGTTGCGCCAGCAAGTAAACCAATGCAAGCTCCAGCAAGACGGCGAAATCCAGTAAACATGCGACTGCCCCGAGAAGGCCGAGCAGCCGCCGAAAACAAACCAAACACAAAGCACGACATGTCTTCTTAGCTAGCACAAACAGCCAGCCCAGTTTGCAATTGCAAAACAAGTTGCATGGCCTTTCACCCCAACTCCAAACAAGTTGCAACTTGAGAATGGTCTCCCCTCAAGCGGGCAAAGACCCCGCCATTTTGGCGTGAGGTCCCGGCGACTGCCGGCAAAGTGACGAGCACCAAGGGCAGCAAGCCGGCAGCAAGGGCGACCCAGAAAGGTCGCTGCCAGTCTGGCGAGGCGGGGCCAAAGGGCTTTTCACAGACCAATAAATCCCTCAGGGTTCCGTGACCACGTGGAGTGGTCCTCCAATGCTTGCTACATGGTTTAACGCTCGGGTGTTCCCACCTCGTTCTCCAACCCTGCACCCGCTTCGACTCATTGACCTTGTTTTCCAATGTCCGAGTTGCTTGTGATCTCAACCACCTACATGTCATGGCCCCACCTCGTTTTGGGCTGCCCCTCCCTCATGTTGCACTTAAATCGGTATGCTTCCCAAAACATGCTTTCGCCCGGCCTTGACTGTACGCTTCTGCAAATAAAGGCAGTCGCTCATGTTGTCATATATATATATATATATCCGCCGACAACAGACGGCGTGTTGGACACAAAAAATGCTCCTTACCTCTTTACCTGTTACCCCTCCCCTAACCCCTCCCCAGGGGCACCATTTCAGACTATTGCGGGGGGGGGAAAAAATAGAAGAAGTAGGGGGCCTGGGGGGAAGTCTGTTGAGGGTTGCCTGTTATGGTTTTTATGTTCATCTCAAATCTATGTTCCCCCTTATTCGTTTTTAAAAGAGGGTTTTTAGGGAGCTTATTTATCGTTTTCGTTAAGGTAATCATTTGGGTAAATTGTCGCCTTGTTCATTGTTGGGCTGGGGGCAAACATTTTTTTCATTTGAAAGAGTTGGCCCTTTTAGTAGTTATCAAGTTCTGGGGTGTTGCTGGGTCGTTTGTTTTCTTTGACGTTTATCTCTACAATTATTTATTTTCGTTCTACACTCTTGACAATATTTATATCTTTTTCCACTTTTTACATTTCCAAATTCATCAATTGTTTTATCATAAAGACATCTGTTGCATTTGAAGAATTCACCATAGTCTTCTGTTGCTTTTTCTTCTGTCATTCCATAATTATTCATTATAGTTTGCTTCACAACCATTTCTTAATATATCTTAACAACTTCTTTTTATGTGATTTTTATGTGATTGTCTAGTTATGTTTTATAGGTTGAAATTACAGTATAATGAAAGGTTATAAAAGTTTACACTGTTTAATCATATTATAATTAAATATTATGATTAAGCCATGAAATCATTGTTTCTGTTTTCTATAAATTTCAATTGCAACATGTTCGATAGTAATGATTTCGTGTCGTTTCATAGTCTGTTTGGTTTCTTCAACTGCTTGTTCAATATGGTATTGTAATGACGCTCTACTTGAAATCTTATTCTGTTTAGATGATGAATAAGAACGACTGTTGCAAATATTATTATTATACATAATTTTTGAACTAACTACTATTCCAACCTGTATTTCTTCATCATACTTCATCATTCTTAATAATTCTTTTGGTGGTTTCAACGCATATGAAAGCGCTTTATCACCTTTTAAGCATTTATTGCGAATCTCAACATAATATCTACTTTCTCCTACTCGTTCAGTGTAAATAGACGGTTTCCATTTCCTTTGTAATTCTCTTAAAGCATCACATTGTTTCAGTCTTCGCCACCCTTCACTACCATTAATGTAAGTAGTGATGATTGAAACTAAGCCTTCAGGTAAGCTAGCGCAATTCTCATCCATAAAATTATTCTCTGACATTTTACCCTTACTCATTTTTCTCTTAATATATAAGGCTTTTTCTCTTTAAGTAGTTTTGGCTAGGGGTTGCTGGTCGGCTGGTCTGGGTTTCAGGTTTAATTTAAATGTCTTAACCTCATTGTTAGATTATAAAAACTAGGTTTAATCATATTATAATTGAATAATATCATTAAACTAAATCACTCACGCTTTCCATCCACCTATTCCATCCCACCAGAATTCAATAATTCGCATCTGTCCATCTACTAGACTGTCTTCTGTGTTTAGTTTCCGTATCGCTCCCGATAAGATATAGTGGTTAATAATCATAGCATTAAACTGCCCATCTCGGTTTAACTTTTTACCACAGTCTTTTATGATGTTTTCATCTGTTAGGTTTTCATACATTTCTTTCATGATGTCAAACCTAACAAATGAGTATATTGTCATCAAGTTTAATCCGCTATTATCCCTAAACCTGTTAATAACATCTTTCCAGAATTCTTCGTTTTCATCAACTGATGGCAAAGGGTGTCTTTTGACGAAATCCTTTATTTTGTTTAACTCGTCATCTAATTCCTTTTTATAACTGTCATTATCATCATCTTCTTCGTCTGATAGCACCCAGTTTGATAAGTCAGCAATCACTCCGACATTTTCAGTCATATTTTCACTTAATATAATAAGTTAATATTTCTTTAAGTAGTTTTTTATTTTATGTTAAGGGGCGGGGTTTTTATTGAAAAAATATTTTCTAACAATTTAATATAATGGCGAGATTAACAAAAGACCAAATAATCAGCAACATCTATTACGACTTAGACGAGGGTTTCGGAAGCACACAAGCGACACACAAGAAGGCAAAGGAAGAAGACCCAACAATAACATTAGACGATGTAAAGTCTTTCTTAAAGAAACAGCCAAATAAACAAATCAAAAATTATAGAGGAACTAATTCCTATACCGCTCCATTCGCACGATATGAATATCAAATAGACATAATGCATATGTCTCCTTTAGCAAAAGACAAGAACGTTCCACAGTATGCTTTAGTCGTGATTGACATCTTCAGTAAATTAGCAGATGTAATACCGATGGAGGAAAGAGACGGAGAGAACGTTTTGAAGGCGTTGAGAGCAAGCTTTAAAAAGATGGGTTATCCGATGTCCGTGTATTCTGATGACGACGGAGCGTTTGCAACTAAAAATCACGTTCAGGATTTCTTCAACAGTGAAGGAATAAACCACATCGTTACGAAGACCCACGCAAATGTGGCCGAGCGTTTTATTAGAACGATGAAAAACAAAATTCACGATAGAGTTAGGTTTAACAACATGAAATGGACCGACGCCCTAACGCCGGCATTGAAACAGTATAACAGCACATCTCACTCATCAACAAGGATGACACCGTCTGAAGCACACAAGGACGAGAATGAAATAAATGTAAAGGTCAATCTTAAACTACGAGAAAAAAACAAAAGAAAGTATCCCAGAATAGTGGAGAACGACAAGGTAAAAGTGTTTCAAAAGAAAAGGGGTAATTACACCGACAGAAAGGAGTATAACTCTAAATGGTCTAATAAAATATTCAATATCGATAAAATTGAATATGATATTATGGGTAATAAAACTTACAAAGTAGCAGAAATAAACAAACCGCTTTTGAGACACGAAATTTTGTTAGTTAATGATTAAACGTATTTCTTGGTGTCTTCTTTATACTTGACTTGATAGTAATCCAGACTTGATTGTTTAGGTTCTTTTATGATTTTTTCATTCAGTTTTTTAACATAAATGTTTCGTTTATTTTTGTATTCGCTACTGTCTCTATCTACTTCTTTTGCTTGATAATTGTTATTGTTATCATATGTAGGTTTAATATTCAAGCTCTTTAAGATTTTCAGTATGTTTTCATTTTGCTCCAACACTTTTTCTAATCTTGGAAACAACAACTCTAAACTACTGTCAATGTTCGCTAAATGTTCCTCCATATATACTAAATTATAAAACTAAACTTTTAAAACTAAATGTTGCAATTATGTTAAATCTACTCTTTAAATACTATTTTTTCATCATTTGTTTAACAGTTTCCTGAGTTTCCTTATCGCCACTATCGGATGGTGATGCTTGCCGACCCCATTTAAAAGTTATATTATGAACATCTGTTTCTAAGTTTATACTGTCTTTAGTTTTATCAATATTCATTTTCTTATCATTTCTACTTATTTTGAAACTTGACGGAATACACGAACATTTACAATGTCCTTTCTTTTGTATTTCTAATTCATTTTTCATTTCTAACATCTTTTTACACATTGGACAAGCAAACTCAATAACTGATGTTTCTTTAACAATTTCTTCTTTTTCTTCATTGGTTGAAGAAACACTTAAACCTGTTTTATTATTTTTGCTTTTTTTCCTTCCCATCTATATTAATATTTATATTTTTAATATATTGTATTCCTAACTTAATTAATTCTAATGAATAATAACAACATTTCTTAATTTTATTATCGGTTATTATTACTTGTTCTATATTTTCTACTTTATCTATTATATCAATATAATCCGAATAACTTCTATTCATATAAAATAATAAATATAAAATATTTTCTAAATAACTTTAATATTATTTTATTATGTCTGATGTTCCAATAATAAAACCAATAAATATAACTGATTACGATTTCAAACAATCTAAATATGAACATGTACCAAAACTACCTTTTCGCTCAATTGTTGTTGCTTCATCAACGGGTGGCAAAACAGTTTTAATTCAAAACCTTATCCTAAATGTTTATAGGGACTGCTTCGCCCGTATATTCATTTTTAGCCCGTCGGTTCATAATGACCCTACCTTCGTTGAAGTCAAGAAATATCAAAAAGATAATATGAAGGTTGATGACGAAAAAGAAAAGTTATATTATGACACCTACCAACCTGAAGAACTGGAAGAAATAATTAACACACAAAGAAAGATAATTCATTATATGAAAGAACAGAAGATGAAGAAACTACATTCAATTTTAATCATTGTTGATGATTTTGCAGACGACCCTAAATTTGTTAGATACAGCAAGTTATTACATGGACTGGCAACGAGAGGCAGACACGACGCCATTAGTTTTTGCTTAAGTGTTCAAAAATATCGTGTCCTTGCTCCAATCATTAGGTTGAATTCTAGTTCGTTGTATATCTTTAAGTTAAAGAATGTATCAGAGTTAATGTCATTCATTGAGGAAAACTCCGCCATTGTTGATAAAGAGCAACTGTTAAATATGTATCATAAAGCGGTAGATGATAAACCATACTCCTTCTTTTATGTTAATATGAATTCCAAAGATGTTAATAATATGTTTTATGTTAGATTTGAAAAAGCATTTAAAATAAAATAAAGATTGAAATATATTATGATATTTTATGA